AAATCACAAGCATGTGAAGTATCTTTTCTAAATCAATGTCATCATCTGAATAGCCATGACAAAAATTATAAACTTCCCTTCATCAACGCTACGGCCTTCCCCTTGAAAATCTAGACACTCCATTTTTTATCATGAAACGTGGAATTAGAGCTGGTTCAGAGATTAATCTGCTGCTTATCTTCCCCTACAAATAGGATTTCAGCACCACAAATTTAAATTAGAGAAAAGTCATGATACGAAGGAGATGGGAGGATTTGGCATTTGATTGCTTGATCTGTGTTTTCTGCAAGTTGGGATTTGAGGATCTCACGATTGCAGTTCCATTTGTCTGCAGATCATGGAACAAGGCCTCCCTTGATCCGCAATGCTGGAGAGTTCTGGACTTCAAGGACTTAGATTTCTCCACAAAGAGCAAGTTCATAGCAAGGTTCAAAGAATTGTATCAGCTGCAGAGCTTCTCCTTCTCTTCTTTCCTGAAGCTCTGCATCTCAAAAAGCCATGGATCCGTCATGGAGCTTCGCATTCCCTCCTTGTTCGGCGCATCCCTGCACCAAGACTTGGTTTTGACGTCCATCCAGTATGAAATGAAACACTCTGTCTTGATTTTTATTTCTTATTCCAGAAATCTTTGTTGGTGCATGTGCGAATGAAAAATAGTCCCATATGAAAAGTGAAGTAAGAATTTACCTTGAAACATAATGTAGTTTTTATTCATTAGTATAAGCACTTGAATTCTTTTGTAATTATACTCATACTTACAAGAGATTAATTTTGAACGCTCAGTTTCACCTATTTTTATAAATAGTATCAAGGATGATAGTTTGACTTCATAATTCCATGGATTCACTCATCTGTTTTGAGGTTGGATGAATATTTAATATATCATTGAGGATGGATGCTATCATTGAGGACCCATTCTAATGCATGGTCGATTTTAATTGGACATCTGATGCAAATTTGCATAAGATTTTCTTACGTAATAATTTTTCGAGGAGTGAAATTATTGCATCAGGACACCAGGTGTCCAATTAAAATTGGTCACATCAAAATGTGAACCCCACTGAAATAGACGGTTGGTTGTTTTTAAAAGTGTGGGACCCATCCTAGCATATGATCAATTTTAATTGAACACGTGATACAAATTTACATCAGATGTCCTGATGCAATAATTTTTCCATTGAAGAGCTTAAGACAACAATAGATAACGAGTATTCAATTTTAATGAATTCTTACAAAGCACAAAAAAAAGGCTTATCCTTGGATATAAAATGAAAAATTTTAAGAGCGCTTAGTTTGCTGCAGAAAGAAATTAAAATCTCAGGACTGACAATAGAGGCCATAGTTGATTAATTATGCAAACATTAAATTACTTGACTTTTCAGATGTCCAAAATTAAAGGTGCTGTCTTTACCAACACTTATATGGAACGATGACAAGCAACTCCCAGGGCTGATGTGCAGCTGGAAGGAAATGGAAGCTTTAGAAATGATCTGGAAGCCAATTTCATTTCTGAAAATGCTAGAGCAAATCATGCTCCACTGCCCCAACTTTCATGAGCTTAATCTCTGCGGCTTCCTCAATGGAAAGGATGCACAGGCAATGATCAGATGCTTGCCTAAGTTGAAGAGACTGCTGATGAGTGCATCCTTTCTGCGAAAGGATGATTTGGTGATGATTTTGGATGGATGCAAGGATTTGGAAGAGGTTGATGTTTCCAGGTGCAGAGGATTGGATGTTGATGATGTTTTACTGAAAAAAGCTGCAAAGTTGAGCAAGTTTGAGTTCCAGGGCTGCAAACCTGAAGAAATCTACGGCAATGGCTACAATAATTATGATGATTTATTCATGGAATTGGTTTTTGGATACTAGTGGAGTATGGATAGTTATTTCTATTCTGAGTTCCCTTAATTGTACTTATTTTCTTATTAAACTAAAGGAAAGAAGTTGTTTGACAGGAAGAATGTTAATTTTTGACAAACTCACACAATATTTCTTTAGGAGTTGTTAAGCAAAGAAGTTTAGGGCTCGAATCTTACTTGATTCCTGAAAACTCATTCCTCTCTTTTCTTTAAATTCTTCTTATACCACGCGAAAGATATGTCACAGTCTGTCCAATAGAATCCATATGCATAATTGATTATATAAGATAAAATTAAACAAAGGGAGGGATAAAATATTGCTATAATATATTCTAGTTTATTGTATTATTATTTGTATAAAAGCCTATAATTATCCTTCTAAAACACAATTTATTAAATTATCAAATAGAGTCATATTAAATCACAAGCATGTGAAGTATAGATGGAAATCCTTTATTTGCAAAAGACATAATTATACTACATCATGATTTCGTACAATCACACTTACTTTAAATCCTCGTGTCAATGTTAGGATGTCCCATGAAAGCGACGTATTGTGTGACTTGAATATAATAAAAAAGGTGCAAGAGCCATTGCACCACTACCATGGTGTTTTGTTAAATATGCTAGGGTTTCTATATGATAAATAGGTGCATGTATAAATATTAGTCCATAAAATTAATATTAAGATATGAACCGGGAATATAGGTACTCTCACAAGTAAATTAATGAAGTCAATAGATATCATGGATCATGGGATAATAAATATCTTATGCATTCATGAAAAGTTGGAGAAAAGGATAAGGTCATTGATAGCCATGGTTTTAGACTTTAGTATTTGGGTAGAAGTCGTACTTGAAATGGTGTAGAAATAATTGGAGAGAAGATTTTTAAAGATAATATTATAAAAATAATAGAGTTGAAGATAGAATTATAGCTCTAATGATTGTTGTTAGCACTATGGTTTATATTGTTTTAAGTTTTTATGCTCCCCAAGTTCATTTGGATATACATTCAGAAAAAAAAAATTTTGAATGACCTATAGGAATTAATAAAAATGACACCTCCTATAGAAAAAAAAAAACATTATTATAGGAGATTTAGATGGACTTAATTTTAGAATCATACATTTTTTTAGAAGTATTCTTGGTGGCTACATTTTTGGAGTGACCACTAAAGAAGATATAACCATATTAAATTATGATCTTTTTATTGTTATTGCTTTATTTAATAAAACAAGTAAGCATATTACTAATTATAATAATAGATTTTAAAAAAAACACTAATTGACTATTCTCTTATAAGAAAATTACATCGTCGAGATTATAAGGTCATTTAAAGTTTAAGTTCAAGTACCTAACATCGATTAATGATTTTTTATTTTAAAATAAAGATTTAAAAAGTTAGAAGTTAAAAATTACAAAAAAAATTCATCATAGAATTAGATGGGCGCACTTAAAAGATGCAAATAAAATTATTTTGATAAGTAGAAATATGCATCGAGTATATCAAAGTTTATAGCATAGAATGTTGGCCTATAAAAGAGAGATCATGTTGGATGGCTAATCTGGGGGATTGCATCGTGCTTTATCAGTGATAGAAATCATCACTTAAACTAAATGAAATATTTTATAAGATGGTCGAGACACATGCAATGCTTTATGGTATAGAATGTTGGCCTACAAAAGAGAAGCATAAAATTAATTTAAACGTTGTTGAGATGAAAATGCTTAGGTGGATGAATGGTTTTACAATTCAAAGCAAATTATAATGTACAATTATCCTTAAAATTGTTGAAGTAGCTCAAGTGGCAAACAAGATTAGAGAGAATCACCTTATATGGTTCGATCACATTAAACGTCAACCATCCATGATCCGGTATTTTAGACTTCATTTTTGTTATAAATGATAGAGGTAAATGATACAAGATAAATTTGCATACTTTTGTTACATTAAATAACAAGATTTATTCATCATTTATCACAATTTTATAATTATGGAAGGTTGTTTGCGATATTTTGTAGGTTATAGGTGTAGAGCATGCAAAATAAAGCCAAAACATGTGATATGGTGCTAAGCGATGTAGTCACGCCAGCTCTTGGTGTGACCACACCAAAACTAGTGTGATCAAACCAGTTTTGAGATTGACCAAGTCATTGGACAATAAGATCTCATTTTGCTAAATATTTTTATGTTGATTTAAGTCAAGACTTTAAAAGAGAAGCTAGGAAAACTTCTCATAGATATAGAGAGACATTTGGAGGCTCTCTAGTGGAGATTTGAGGGGTTGGAGTTCTCTTCTTCTTCTTGAAGGAGAGAACTTCTAGGGTAATTTTTTTTTTTCCCTCTTTTCATGTGGTTTGTTGAGATTTTGATGAGTCTTTTTTTTTTCCTCTTTTCATGTGGTTTGTTGAGATTTTGATGAGTTGTGATAGGAGAGGTTGAGTGCATCGATATGGGATGAGATCCTCAAGTAACTTCTACTGAACGGAGAGAATCACGGTGTATTACAAGGGCAGATTAGCTCGGTGAGAGTTTTCTATACCTCTTGCGCTTCTTCTATTTATTCCCATAATAACAAGTATTGGTGTTTTCTTATTTCTTTAATTGTAAGTAATCTTACTTTCATACTCATGTAATGTAAGGTTTGTGGTTTCTTGTGGTTTTTATTTTTTAACTTTTTTGTTTCTCTAGATGTTTTTCTTAAGCATAAATTTTTTATGTTGATGTGCTAGCCTTCAAACGTAATTTACTTTTTATCAGACACGATAACAATGTTAAAAATCTCTCGCGGCAATACGACTTCTGCTCGTTGCATAATGGAACAACTAGGTTAACCACAAAAACTTAGTGGAGTATGCACATTCTGTTAGGATTTTGCAAGCTAGATATGGGATCTGACAAATTCCATAAAATTCCATAGGGTTAAGGGAAAATAACTTTATGGGTTACTGACTTCAAGAAATCACTTGATCTATGTTACAAAAGTATGAATTTTACATGTATGAAAAACTCAAAACTCTTTCTGTCATTTATGTTTAAATGATCTATGTTACAAAATATGAATCTTACAAAAATATGAATCTTACTTGGATATCTCACAAGATAGAGGTTACCTCAAAAGAAATAATGCCTAAAAGCTCCTGTGAAAACTTGGGTTCCATGGGAAGTCGAGGAAAACAACCGACAGAAGGAGAGCTTAGGAAGTGATCATGCACATATTTCATAAATTGAGCCCTATAGGGAAGAAGTGGAAATTGAAATACCTTGAAAAATTTGCGTAAGTTGTCATGAAAAAGAGTTAAATCCGACACACAAATAATAATGAAAATAATTTAATATTTTATTTGTTTAATTTAAAAAATATTTACATTTCATCACCCCCGACAAACTACTCAATAAATTATTCTACTAAATCATTAACGACCACTTTAGCAGAGACAAACCTTCACTAAAGCTTACAAATTCTTCTTCTAACCTAAACCTGTCTATTATGTCTGTTTTAGATTGCGAACAACTGACTGAGGACACATCTCAGGTGGTCAAAAGCTCTGTCTGAAGGGATGCAACATCTTTGTAGAGGATGGCCTCTCGAACACGCATAACTATGACCTCCTTTAACATTTCCGGTTGGTGAAGTTCATAGGCTTGCAGTTGCACCTCCTTGGCTTGGAGAAATCGGGCCGCCCGAATGAATGAATCCTCCATCTTACGGAGCTGACTCGCCTTCAAACCAGAAGGAATTGACCTTGTGGCTGCCTCTACTTGGACTTCCTCTAGAACATTTGGGCAGCTTCCTCAAACTTTAGCGGATGGGAGGTAACCTCAGTAGAGTCTTGATTAACCACAACATTGTGGACTTCATCCTCACATATCACTGCCAAGGAAGTAATGATCGATGGGGTTGTCAAAATGGCTCGTTGATCGTAAACAACTCGTGTTCGGCTCGTTAAGCAGCTCGTGTTCGGCTCCTTCGTTAAGCTTTACCAGCCGAACAAGAAAATT